AGGTCGGAGGCTCAGCATCGCCAACCTCCTCAAGGCGCGGGCCAAGGTGCTGGCCCAGAGGCAGGCGGGGCTGCGGCGCCTGCTCAGGGGAGAACACGCGGGGTTGGGATGATCGCACCTCCTCCTCCTCCCTCCTCCCTCCTCCCTCCTCCTCCTCCTCCTCCTCCTCCTCCTCCTCCTCCTCCTCCTCCTCCTCCTCCTCATGGGTCGCGGCCTCGGCGTCCCCAGACCTCCGGCGGCACGAGTCTGTGTAGTCTGGGCGCCTTTCTCCTTGCTCTCGGCCTCTGGGGCGCGCTGTCGGGCCCCGGGTGCCGCCGAGCACGGAAGGGGCTGGGGCCTTTCTGGGGCCGCGCACGGGATGGGGCGGGGAGCTCTGGGGTCCCAAACGTCGCGTAAAGAATGTGACGTCAGTGTATTCCAGACCCAACCACGACTGCGTGTGCACCGATCAGCCAGGATCGGTGATCTGACGTCGTCCCGCGGAGGTCCATGCCGACGTGGTGGGGCTCTTGAACGAGGTCCTCCACAATGGAACCAAGTCGCTGTGCGGAAGGCCGATCCGCGACGCGCGGACGTTTTTCGAGGCGCTGGACAGGGACAGGAGTGGACTGCTGAGCGTGGCGGAGCTCGCTTGGGGCTTCCTCAGGCTCAGCGCGGCTGTCGGGCAGGAGTCGGGAGGGGAGACGAGTAATTTTACGTCGGGCGTGTCCTTACAAGGGTATTTTCGACGAAAAATAAAGAATACCCCAAACGTGCCCCAAAAAGGCAAAAAAAAATACCTAAACAATAGTTCCCTGATTATTTTTGGATAATTGGTTGATCATTTTAAGGGTATTTCTTATTTTTCATCGAAAACCCCCCTGTAGGGGGACCCCGACTTACGAGTAATTACCAATGACACGCCGCCGCGCGGAGCCCAGCAGCGTGCTCCGTCCGTCGCTCTGGCTCCCGAAGGCCTGGTGCTCCGCCGGTGGCGGCAGGCCGAGGGGGTCCCCACGGCGGCACGCTCGGGGGGCCACAGGCGAACCCTACCCCAGCCCCCCACGATTTCTGAGGGAAAGGGTGGGGTTCACTTCGTTCGGGAGCTCCCGAGCGGAGCTCCCGAGCGAAGTGCCCCCCACCCTCCCCCCTCAGAGGTCGTGGGGGTAGAAAAAAACAAACAATACCACCCCACCTACGGCCCTCCATGTTGCGGTACGGCCCATCGGGCGCCGTGGCGTATACGACGCAAAAGCCTACGCCAGATTCTTGGGCTTGCGCCGCACCGCCGACCCCTTGGGGAACTGGCGGTTGTTGCGTGTTGTTCCTGAGGGCTTCTTGTGCGCCATGCGGGGGCTTCTTGGAGCTCTTTTGGGGCTTCATGGGGGTCTCTTGCTCTTGGGGGCCGTTTCGGGGCTTCTTGGGTTGACATTCTCAGAATTCGCCGTGCACGCATGGGGAAACGGGCAAGAACCCACGTGTACAGACAGCGGGCATCCGTCAAAACACCCGACGAATGATTATCGAATGGCCTTCGGCACATTCCGCCGCCGTGCCTGGGTTGCGGATCTGAGGCCACTCGGATGGCCGATGTGGTCTCGTGGGAGGCGTCTCGGGGGCGTCTTGGAGGCTTCTTGGGCCGTCTTGGGGCCCTCTTGGATCGTCTTGGAGCCCTCCTGGGGGCCTCTTGGGCTGTCTTTGGGCGAATTTGAAGGCCTCTTGGGCCGTCTGGGACGCCCAAGAGGCGACTGTGCTACAAATGCACGTCTTCCGAATGGAATGGGACGATTTTTGCTTCTGGAGGCCATCTTTGGACGCCTCTTGGGGCTTCTTGGGGCGTCTTGGGGGCCTCTTGGGCCGTCAAGAGGCCAGCGTGGGCGTTTTGGATCGATCTTTCAGCGATTCGTGGCCCTCGTGGACCGCCCCAAGGGCCTCTTGGGGCTCTCTTGATCTGTTTGGGGGCCCTCTGCCCCCCTGGATATGCGTTTACCCGGATCCCGCGGAACCTCCCCCTTCCAAATCGACCGGACTGGGCTCCCAGGCGAGGTTTGGGGAGGGAGAAGCATCTGACACGCCGATGAACCCCAAGGGGACGGCGGAAAGCCCACGCCAGATTTCCTGGTATACGCTAAGCCCCGTGGGGCCGCAGGTGGGGTGGTCTCGTTTGCTCTCTGGTCCAGTGCTTTTGCCCCCCCAAGGAGGAGGTCACCCGGTTCCTGGAGGACCTGGCCGGCGAGGAGGGCGGCCAGATCGACCTGGCGAGGCTGGCCCACGGCCTGCTGCTGGGGCGTTCCCGCCGCGCGAGGGCCGAGAGGCCGGGCGGCCCCCCCGCGCTGGGGCCGGGCCTGGAGCAGCAGGCGTGCGCCCTCTCGCCCACAGGCTCGCCCAGAATCGGCACGAGCGAAATTCAGGAAGGAAAAAAAAACACACAGACACAATGAATCGCCGATTCCCCAGAAAATGTAGGAAAACATATGAAATGGGGGGGGAGGCAAAAACCCAGAAGATCTTGGAAAATATGGGGAATCCTGTTATTTGTGTCTATGTATTTAATCGCTTCGCTCATTCCGCCGGCCCATAATGTCGCACCGTGGTCGCCTGTCCGAGTGGTCGTTTGCAGTGTGGAGCTGCGGCGTCGGGAGCTGTGTAGTGTTGGGGGCGTTCTTGGGGCCCTCTTGGGCCGTCCTGGAGGCCTCCGGGGCCGTCTTGGAGCCGTCTTGGGGCCCTTTTGAGGGCCTCTTGGGCCCTCTTGGGGCGATCTTGGAGGCCTCTTGAGCTGTTTAGGGGCGTCGGAGAACCGAAAAGGTTGAAACGCCCAAATCTGTCCAAAACCTAAAACAAGCCTTGATTTTTGCCTCCTGGGGCCCTCTTGGGAGTGCTCCTGGAGGTCTCTTGGGGCATCTTGGAGGCTTGTTGGGTCATCTTGGAGACGTCTTGGGCCGTCTGGAGGCCATCTTGGGCGCCGTGGAGCGATCTTCGGGCGTCTCGGACCTCTCTTGGATTGTGTTGGGGGCCTCTTGGGGCCCTCTTGGGGCGATCCTGGAGGATCTGGGGGAGTGTCCCAGGCTCCGCCCGGGGTACTTTTGATCCAGGGACCCCCAGGGGCCGCCCCGCGCGCGCGAACTAGAAATACTGTTTACCAGTTACCGGAGATCTTAGCACGCCTCTGGCCCGTTGGGCCGGCGAATTTGTGTGTCCCAGGGCCCCTTCAGAAATGGGCACGGCAAGTGTGGGCACGATGCCCAACAGCAGTTGTTGTTCGTTTTGAGCAGGGCTCGCTGTCCGCGCCGCCGCGGACGTCGTCCACTTGCGACAGAAGGCCGCCTGCCCAACAGCGGCCGCCGTCGATGTTGGATAATCGGGCAAAGAGGACCATGCACATGCACCAGTCCTGGCCAGGCCCATCCTGGGCCCAGACCCAGAACCAGTGCATGTGTCTTCCTGGCCAGTGCAGGAGGGCGTGTGCACCGATCTTGGGTTCAGGGTTGGCCTGGTCAGAATCGGTGTATGTGCATAGTTTCCTTTCCTCTAGGATAACACTTGTTGTTGGGCATCGTACCCATGTCGTACCCCGAAACAATCAACGGGTTCTCCCCTCTAGGATAACATTTGCTGCTGGGCATCGTACCCACGTCGTACCAGTGTGCACAGTTTCCTTTCCTCTAGGATAACATCTGTTGTCGGGCATTTTCCGTACCCCTGGGAGGCTTCTTTTGGAAGCTTCTCTTGGAAGCAGCCCCCTGCTTCCTCGAGGGCGCGGGCCTTGTCTCTGGATGCGAGGCCAGCGAGGCCAGCGCCTTCTAAGAGGCCGCCTCCTTCTCAGAAGCCTTTCCCCCCCCCCTGCCCCCCCGTGTGCGCGCCGGCAAGCGGGCCCGCTCCCTTTTTCCGTGCCCGCGGTCGGGCGCCGGCAGGCGGGCTCTGAGGGGACCGCGGGCCCCGAGGCCACATCCGCGGCCGCGGGCGACCCCCCCGCGGGCCCCCACCGCCCGGGGGGCCGCGTGGGAAGCGCGGGCGCCGGGGTCGCGTCGGGCCTGTGTACCTCCACAGGGGGGATAGTCAAAGATGGGCCAAAAGTATGGTCTGGGGGCGATTTTTGGAGTAGTATTGGGCATCTTTGGGGGTATTTGTTTGGTGATATTTCTCGTGTTTCGTCCAAAATCCCCCTGGAGGGGGACAGGCCCGACTTGAAGCTGGGGGCGAAGAGCTGGTCGTGGAGAAAGGCCCTGGGGTGTGGGCCCCGTGTCCCTCAGGGCCCGCCGGCTTCATGCCAGCAGGCTCGCCAGCCAGGCATCCCTGTCGGGGCGACCTGGTGAGGGAGATCTCCGCGGACTTCCGGCAGTGCCTGTCGTCGCTGGTGGCCGAGCTGCAGACGGAGGAGATCGGAGCAGCAAGAATGCACGACAGCGATGCGCTCCAGGGTTTCCGCATTTTTTTGTCCTGCTCCGCACGGGCTCCAGGGCCGAGGGCCGCCAGACACCCCGGGACGCCTGGAGCATCCCGAGCCAGCCGCGTCGTGGCACCGCCCAGGGCTGGACCTAAACCGTGTTTTTGGCGGTTTCGTGGGCCGTTTTCGTTTCGATTTCGCTCTGCGGGAAAGGCGGACTCGAGGCACAAGCGAGGGAAAACGAGAACAGAACGAGGACGGCAAACACCGCGCAGGTTCGGCCCTGGCACCGCCCTCGCCCCGCAGGAGAAGCAGAAGGCGGACGCGCACGTGCTGGGGAGCTTGCGCCTGGAGCAGAAGCTCGACCAGCTGGGCGCCGCGGTCCTGGAGCGGCTGGACCGCCTGGAGGCGAGCGTCGCCCCCGGAGCGGGGCCGGCGACGACCGCGGGCCGGGCAGCAGCCCAGCCAGGGGGCCACAGGCGAACCTTACCCCTGCCCCCCACGATTCCTGAGGGGGAGGGTGGGGTTCACTTCGCTCGGGAGCTCCCGAACGAAGTGAACCCCACCCTTTCCCTCAGGAATCGTGGCGGGGCAGGGGTAGGGTTCGCATGTGGCCCCCTACCAGCTGGAGCAGCCGATGGAGGAGCCGCGGCCGTGCGCGGGGCCATCAGACGACGCGGAGGTGTCCGTCGACCGCGCCGTGCTCAGGAGGCTTGAGCAGAACACCGGGGCCCTGCAGGACCTGCTCTCGGCCGTGCGGGCTGCATCGGCGCGTGCGCTCACGTACGAGCAGGCGGCTGGGCTGATGAGCGTCGACAGGGGCGGGGGCGGGGATCTCAAGGCCGTGCTGGACGCGGTGTCTGCGGTGCAGCGGGCTGTCTCCTCCGCCGAGATGAAGATCACCTCCAGGGTCGGGGAGGTCCAGCTGTGCTGCAGCACACAGGCCGACCTGCATCGCGTCCTCGAGGCGGTCTCGAGCAGTGCGACCGTCACGGACCTGCGGGGGGTGGCGCAGGACCTGAGGGCGCAGCAGGCCGTCAACCTTCGGCCGGTCTTGGATGCAATTTCGGCCGCGGTGCATGAGCTGAAGGCGCAACCGGCCGCGACCTCGGTGCAAGAGCTGAAGGCGCAACCAACGGTGGACCTTCGACCCGTGTTGGATTCAATCGCGACCTCGGTGCAAGAGCCGAAGACGCATTCGGTCGTGGACCTTCGGCCTGTCCTAGATTCAATCGCGACCTCAGTTACTGAGCTGAAGGCGCGACCAGCCGTGGACCTTCGGCCACAACTGGATGCTATCTCGGTCGCTGTGAATGACCTGAAGGCGCGACCGGCTGTGGACCTTCGGCCCGTGTTGGATTCAATCGCGGCCTCGGTGCATGAGCTCAAGGCGCAACCAGCTGTTGACCTTCGGCAAGCGTTGGATTCGATCGCGACTTCGGTGCATGACCCGAAGGCGCAACCAGCCGTGGATCTTCGACCCGTGTTGGATTCGATCGCGACCTCGGTGCAAGAGCTGAAGGCACAACCAACGGTGGACCTTCGACCCGTGTTGGATTCGATCGCGACCTCAGTTAATGAGTTGAAGGCGCAACCGGAAGTGGACATTCGGCCAGTGTTGAGTGCGCTCTCGGTCGCGGTGCATGAGCTGAAGGCGCGACCAGCCGTGGACCTTCGGCCAGAACTGGATGCGATCTCGGTCGCTGTGAATGACCTGAAGGCGCGACCAGCTGTGGACCTTCGGCCCGTGTTGGATTCGATCGCGACCAGGGCCACCGCCGCAGATGTGGTGCACATAGTGCAGGGCTCTGTCACTGTCGACCTGGACGCAAAGCCCTTGATGGATGCGATCTCCTCCAGGGCCGCCGCAGCAGACCTGCAAAAGATGGCCGCGAGCATACAAGCCCTGCTCGACAGGGCCCTGGCCGCGGACCTGCAGCCAGGGGCGAAGGGCCCCAGGCCTGCCGTGGACCTCCAGGCCGTGCTCGACGCCATCTCGAGCAGGGCCTCCGCGACAGACCTCCAGGGGCTCGCGCAGGACCTCGACTGCCAGCCCGTCTTGGATGCCATCGCCGCCTCTGCCGCACGCGTTCAGCAGGCGGTGCTGGAGTGCGTGCGGGAGGCTCTGCCCGTGCAGGCCGAGCTGGACGTCCGGCCTCTGCTGGAGGCCATCGCCACCAGGGCCTCCGCCGCAGACGTGGAGATCCGGGGGCGCCAGCCGCACACCGGCACCCATCCTGGCCGGGCCGGTCCTCTTGGCATCGCTCGGACGTGTGCCTTTTTCCTTCGGCGAGGACCATCGAGGAGCATCCTTGATCCTTTCGCGAAAAAAAGCCACGCACGGAGCCGAAAAAAGCGCACAGGAAGCGGACGTCCGAGCGATGGCCAGTCCTGGGCCCAGAAAGGAGCGGCCCATATATTGGGCAGGATCGGTGCCGGCGCGCGACCTCCGCCGGCGCCCCTGCCAGGAGAGGGTGGCGCAGGAGCTCGCCGAGGGCCTGAGGCCCCTGCTGGGCGGCGCCCCCCGGGCGGGCGCTGCGGGGCAGCAGCCGGCCGCGCCGGACCTCCGGCCCGTGCTGGACGCGATCGCGACGAGGGCCGGGGCCGCGGAGCTGGAGCGCCTGGCGCGGGCGGTGCACGAGGGGCTCCAGCGCGAGCTGCCGCCCGTGCACGTGGACGTGGACATGCAGCCGCTGCTCGACGCGATCTCCACCCGGGCCACCGCCGCGGACGTGCGGCGGGCGGTGGCGGGCGGCCCGAGCGCTGGCGGGGCGGCGGCGGCGGAGCCCAGGGGTGGCACCGCGCAGTGAGGGCGCGCGCGGGGGACCCCCCTTGCGGCGGGCCCGGGGCACGAGAGGCCTGCGCCGCCGCGGCAGGGGGGCGGCGGCGCGGGGCGCCCGCGGGCCAACGGGTGTTGGACTTCTCTCTGCTCTTCCTTGACTCCCCGAGCGCGTTCCACGACTCGTAAAGTATTTACCTGTACTCGCAAGCGCCCGAACAAATATTGCTCTTCCTTCAAGTAGTGTGCGGTAAGTCCCCCGTGGCGGGATTCGGGCCATTTGCGAGTAGTGACTTTGCGAGTCGTGGAACGCGCTTGTCCATTGGCTCGGCGGCGAGTCCAAGGGGGAAGTCAGAGGGGGCGGGCCTTCTCAGGAGGCTCGGAGGGCCACTGGCCCTCTGAGATGTGCTCTAAGTTTTCTCCGAAGACAGAGACGGCTTCTCAGAAGGGCTTCTGAGAAGCCTTCTGGCCTGCTGAGAAGGCCTGCCCCCTCTCACTTCCTCCAGGGCGCGTCGCCGATTGACACAACCTCGCCGCCATGAATTCGCTTTAACGCTGTCTGTCTGTCTGTCGGTCGGTCTGTCGGTCGGTCGGTCTGTCTGTCTGTCTGTGTGTCTGTCTGTCTGTCTGTCTGTCTGTCTGTCGCGCTGATGCGGCTGCGACCCTGGCGCGGGCGCGATCGTGAGGCCGCGTTTGTTTGAGGTCGAGTGGTCACCGAAGTGTCAGGAAACCGACGCCGACGTCGCAGTGGCGCGAGCCTGCCGTGGCCAGGGCGGCACCCCGCACCAGCCTCGCACTTACAGCGGGCCCCTGACCAGATTTCTCGCTCGGTGCTGCTGTGTCGTCGGCCCTCAACTCGCCCTCCTTCTCGCAGAGATGCGGCGCGCACGAGCGGCTGTCTGGCCAGCAAATCACACGACCTGGACCTCAATGAGGGTCCCGCCCGATGTTTCTCGGGCAGGTCATCCAGATGGCGCTCGGTCGGTGGGGCACGCAAAACTGAGCCTCGCCTCGGCTCCCTCCCTCCGCCACAGCCTCCAGCGCCTCCAGCGCCCAGGCCTGCAGCTCCCCTCCCCTCCTCCCCCTCCTCCCCCTCCTCCTCCTCCTCCTCCTCCTCCTCCTCCTCCTCCTCCTCACCACCACCACCATCCTCCTCCTCCTCATTCTGCTCCTCCTCCTCCTCCTCCTCACCATCCTCCTCCTCCTCATTCTGCTCCTCCTCCTCCTCTTCCCAGTCCTCCTCCTCCTCACCATCCTCCTTCTCCTGCCACCCCCCGTTTTTCCTCAGGGGGGGGAGGAGGAGCTGGAGGGGTGCAGGAGGAGGAAGAGTTGGAGGAGGAGGAGGAGGAGGAGGAGGAGGAGGAGAAGGAGAAGGAGGAGGAGGAGGAGGAGGAGTTGGAGGAGGAAAAGGAAGAACAGGACGAGCAGCAGCAGCAGCAGCAGGAGGAGGAGGAGGAGCATTCAGATCAGGAGCATGATGAGGATGAGCAGGAGTGGGCGCTCCGCACTGGCCGGGCCAAGCTCGACGTCTTTTTGCCGCCTCGCGTGCGCGGGCCCCTCCAGCTTGGGGGCGTAGCCAGGCTTCGTCGGCGCCCCGCGCCGGCCAGGCCAAGCAGCCAGGGCAAAGGCACTTTGCTTCTTTTAACTATAGAGTAGCAGTAGCAGGATGAGGACTGGGAGGAGGAGGACGAGGAGGAGGAGGAGGAGGAGGAGGCCCGTAGCCATTTTGGCTCAAGGTCGTGCTGACCACGCTCTTCCTTTCCCGATCCTCACGGACAGCCCTCGTGCACCGTGAGCTGATTGCTCGCCTCAGTCATGTTCTGTTGGTGCGACTACCAGAGTTGACGCGAGGAATGGCTGGCAATTGCGACAGTGCAGAGCTGGCAGCTCAGTTCAAAGCTTGCCTTACGTTCCCGTCGCAAGGCTCGCAGGCAAGTGACCTCGGAAACATCGCTACCCCTCTTCGTGCTGGTGAAGGGCGCAAGCGTCAAGCTCCTGTCGATCCTCCTCGTGGTGCCCGTGCTGTTGCTGATGTTCTCGAGGTGCTGGATGATGCACCCTCCGCGTCCGAGCTCAAACACTACATCGACGAGATGCAGACGGACTTCACCACGCAGCTCACCGGTGTGCAGACTGCTGTCAACGTCTCCGTCGCTGACACAGCGAAGAAGGTCAACGAGTCCTGCGTGGGTCTCGGCAAGCAAGTCGAGAAGCGGATCGCCCCCCTCGAGGCCAGAATTCGGGTCACTGAGACTCGGATCGACGACGTGTTCGCGGATATCAAGGCGCTCAGATGTGAATTGGGTGTCGCGCAGACGGCCGTGGTTCTGGTTCCCCCCTCCGCGGCGGGCGCGAAATTCGTCAGGAATGTGGACCCCGCGATCATCGTGCTGCGTGCGAACGCAATGAAATCCCGAGGTGCGGTCATGGCGTCGTGTCGTCAATGGACTGCAATGTGTTATCGATGAACAACAATGGGAGTGCAGGGCGACCCGTCGGCGAAGAGGTTCCTTCTCAGGTTCAAGGGTGCGACCAACTATGCGAGCCGTTTGGTCAACCAGACGCTGGGTGTTTTCAAACCAGATGCCCCTGGCGGAACGTGGAAGAAGCTGCATGTCGAATCTCTGGACCGGCAGAAAGTGGAGATCTTCGCTGGCCCAGACAAGTCCACGTTCCAGATCAAACGCGAGATGGCCTGCAAGGAGGCGAAGATCGCGTTCGATACCAAGTATCCAGACCGGCGTATCTGTATCAATCGTGAGAAGGGCATGTTGTCTTATCAGTGGAAAGAGTTGCTGGATATCACGCCACAGTGCAATGAGGTGCCGTCGCTGCGCTGGAAGATTCGCAACCTCGAGGCGTTGGGCTTCGACGTCGAAGCTCTGCGCGCAGGCGTCACTGCGGCCCTCGCTGGAGGCGAGGATGACGCAGAGTGCTGTGTTTAGCAACTTGCATGCGTTGTGGAGCAGGCGTCAACGCTCCACCGTGCCCATCCGTCTTGCCACATGGAACGGAGCAGCTCTCTTGCATCGCAAAACTAAGCTGAGATGCAAAAAGACAGAAGTTGCTCGCGAGTCTTCTACAGCCAGGAGCCATCGTTGCAGTCCAGGAGACGCACGGCAATGTACATGATCCAGAAGACTTCGGGCATCATTTTCATGTCCCATTCCACTCCGCTTCCTCTCTCACTCTGCCTGTCTCTCACAGTGAGGTGGTTGAACCGCGGCAGCCAACCGCGCTGGCGGTCTCGCCACGCGTTTCCCCATCTTCCAGGAGTCTGAGGTTGGGCAACATATTGTGGGATACCCCCCCTTGCTTCCTCGGAAGTTCTGGTCCCTGGACGTGTTCTTCATGCGAGGATTGGTTTCCCTGATAGTCGCTCGTGGATGTCCCATGTGAACGTTCACAATCATGATCTTACCGTGCTGGAGAGACGCCTCGCCTCTCAACAAAATCCAGATGGGACCGCCAGTAGCAGGGAGAAGCCACAGGACAGGCTCGCCTTTGTTGCTGGTGATTTCAACTTTAGCCACATTCCTTCTCGCGCTCTCGCTCCTGACCCGGATGCGGCCCCTCCTGGTCCTCCGCCTCTTCCTCCACGTGAACGGCGCGAAGCACTGGGGCCTTTGGCTGAATTTCAGCTGGAAGCCCCAACCCACTTCCCAGGGGCGAAAAGCTCTCCTGCATCGATCGGAGATTTACGTCAGCCCCGGGGTGGGTCCTCACTCAGCAATCTACGGGTGGCGAAGTCAGCCGTCAGCCAGGGCCCCGAAGTTCTGCGTGCCAGAGGGACCTCGGACCATTCGCCAGCTTGCGTCTATATTCAGGTGCGGCAGGAGGCGCCTGCAGGGCAGAGGTCGATGCCGCGGGTCATTTTCAACTCGCAGGAGTGCGCAGAGTTTCTCTCGTATGCTTGGGCCGCGGCGCCCCCGTCGGACGACGCGAGTCAGCCGATGAGCCGCGAGGATATGAAGACGTTGATGGACGAAGCCGCCCGCTCTGCTCGCGATCGAATCATCCTACGTAAAAGCATCGCGGCCGAATTCCTCGCTATCCGAAGCTGCGCGAGGGCGGTGTTTCAGGGTGACTTCCTGTTTGCCCAGCGTCTGCTTCGTTCGCATCCGCTTGCTCGGGGGCACCTTGATGCGCAGCTTGACTCTCGGCAGGTGTCGAGGCTTGACCTTCTCAGGAAACGACAGAAGGGCCTCGCGAAGATGCAGCAGCTTTGGTCACCCTTCGACAAGAGGATGCACCTTGCAGTCGTTAGGCTGGACAACGGCACCTCTCTGACCGAGCCGAATAGCATGTTGCACCAGTCAGGCGACCATTGGAAATCTATCTTTACTGCGAAGCAATACGTGAGCGACGCAGCGAGTGCCCCGCTGATTCAGCGTGCGCCGAAGATGCCGCGCACCGACCTTCCGCCCCCACTCAGCCACGCTCTTCGGGCAATTCTTGATCGCGTCCGTCCTTCGGCCCTTGGTCCTGACAGTCCGCCGTGCGAAGCCTGGAAGCGCGCCCTCATGGGAATCGAAGTTTTGGCTGACCGTATGAGGTGGGCGCTTGAGGGCCATTCTTTTGGCAGCGACTTTCACTGCAGCATATAAGAATGCTGCGTAATATTACCAGTGGTATTATCCAAGGATGTCCAGCCTCGGGAGCTTTGTTTGCGGTTTCCATCGCCCCTTCCCTCCAGCGGCTCAGGGCTGTGATCGACCGGCCTGATCGTGGCACCACGCGCGCGTGCGCGGACGATGTTGGCATGGCCCTTCGTCTCTCGGTGCACTTGCTGCGCGCGTCTAGGGTCTTCGAGGAAGCCGAGCGCGCGGCGAACCTGCGCGCGAAGAGTATCACATGCACTATTGCACCCTTATGTGGCCCGTTGACGGCTCGGCTGAATTGCCGCATCAAAGCTTGGCTTCTGGAACAGATCCCTGCGTGGAAGGATTCTGTGATTGATGATGAGCTAGGCTACCTCGGCATGCTCCTGGGCCCCGCGGTGACCCCGGAGGACCCCTGGATCAAGCCCGTCGACCAGCACATCCAGCGTTCACGTACCGTTGGTGCCCAGGGTAGCTCCTCAGAGGTCTCTGCGGGTCTGTGCGGATCTCGAGCTTTATCTGTTCTGTCTTACGTGGCCCAATGTGCGGCTCCTCCCGCTCGTCTCCGTCGTGATGAATATTGTATATTCGCTCGGTTATTCAATATGCAGCATCGGGTTATAACGAATGCGGACTGGCACGATCTAGTATTATGGGGTGGTCCTAAAGCGGGGGGTATTCAGGCCAAGTGCCATGCAGCTCTTATCCGAGCCTCGCTGTGCACTTTTAGTAAGACGTGGCAGACTGGCGTAGAACG